TTTTAAAGTAAATTTACATATCTTTTTTGGTTAAGCGTTTAAACAATGAAACAATTAATGAACATGCAATTGTGAAACAGCTTTAACTTGAACTTAATTGTCCACAATCAAAAACCGTCATATCGCACACCCTAAATGCATTTTTAATACTAAATTTGAATTACATACTAAATGCATTTTTTTTTACCTGATCTGGAGACCACTGATGATCTGTGTGCAGATCTGCAAACAGCTGTTCAAGAAAGTTGTTGAAGGGCTCTACACATTTTTTTGCTGCATGATGTATGTGATGGCAGGAGTCTCCATCTATGTCCAGCAGTGTTGGGTAGTGTGTGCTGCAAATCCTGGTCTCGAGGCAGGTCTTGCTTCCTCTCATGACCTTGTAGGATTACATCATAATGCTCACCAGATTTTCCCATGGTATTTCATGCTGCATGAAGAAGTTACAGAGTGACTTCTCCAAGCTGGCAGCATTCACTTTCTAAGCTTCTAAGAACCCCAGGTGCTCTACCACCACCTTCTTTTCATCATCATGGTCATAGCTTATCAACATTGCAATTTTTTTTTTTTTTTGCTGTTGCATTTGCTTTCATCCACATTGAAGGAAAATGGAAACCTCTTCGAATAAAAAATGACCTTTCAGAAAAAGTACACCCCAGGCCATTCACCAACTCGTAGGAGGATGTGGTGCGTGATAGTTGAATTTGTCCCAAGGCTATCTTATATCAAGCGCAAGACTCTGGGCCAATTCAACTATCACTGGAGCAGTGGACATGGGAAGGGAATGTTCAACGATGACTAGGGTTGGGTATCGTTTGAATTTGATCAATTCCGATTCTGCTTATCGATTCCGATTCTTTTCGATTCCTAGTTTTGATTCCAATGTGATTAAATAATGATACCGAACAATTATCCTGCGTATAATAACATAATTTATTCAGCAAATGTTGAAGTAAAAGGCTGTGAAGTAGTCCGGGTATGGTGACATCAACACCTGAAAGCTTTGTTGACTGCTCAGTCTGTGTTTCTGTAAATTTAGAAAATACAATGTAATGTTTCCTTCTGTTAAAAGTTATGCAGTACTACAACAAATATGGACTATAAATAATTCTGTTTTAGGCATTAAAGCTTTTAAGTTTCTTATGAATATAATTATGATGACACAAGGTATGATTATATAAATAATACCTTCGTTATGGCACGTAGGTCTCATGGTTTGAAATGACAGCTGTGTACCCAGCCTACATCTTTTAACACGGGACCTGAACACGATGGACTCTGAAAACAATATGCACGTAAACTAAGTAAAAACACTGTGATTATTCATTATGAATTAAACTGCAATTACCGTTTTAAAAAGTAGTTTTTACATGAAATACGTTACTTACAGTTGGCGGCGGCATTGTTGGTGAGCAAAAGTGTTCTGGCAAAGCCAGCATCATACTGTGATTTGTTCTCAAATCAGGCATTGGTGAAATGTACTGAACACGTGTAAATTAACACTGACGTAACTGGGACGTTCGCTAAAAATAAACTGAATCCATTTTTCCCTGACGCCGGGGCCTTTCGGCTGCGTATTCAAACATGTTGTTTTTCCACAGCCAGGAACGGCACATCTGCATGGCATCGCAATCTTATTGTAAACAACTACTTCTTCAGACCCAGGCTGCGTTCCAGTCCATTTTTATGCCCTTCACTCGCAAACTTCCCTCCGTCTCGTTTACTCGGATGTATGTCATTGATTACATTGCATGAGTGCCCACTTCTGGCGGAACCCTTGCAATGGACTGAACTGGAACGTCCTAAGCCTTTGATCACTTAGAATCTGCTATAGAGTTTGGTTTATTGTTTACACTTTTTCCCTTGCGGATTTGTTTGGTGCAGCATTCTATATGTATAAAGGTATGCTTGGGCTGTTATAAATGTAAAAAAAAAAAAAGCATTTATATATTATAGAGTTGTTTGGGGTGGGGATAAATTAAACGCGATCTGCGATGACGTCACAATCGTGTTGCATTTTGGTCTGTGGAGTGGCCTGAAGTGTGCATATGAAGCAGACTCGCTCGGACAAAATCGAGGGGTCGAGGGTATGTCCATATAAACTTCCTTCGTCCACTTCACGAAGTGGAACGCACTTAAAAATGGCGCTGGGGATTCCCCCGAGGGGAAATGCTTAGGGAAGTTCGCGAGTGCGTGTCTCAAAGTGGAGTGGAACGCAGCCCCACTCGCTGCACGTCGACTGAACACCTGTGGGCGTGACAACGATACAATGATGCAAAAATAGGCATAGTTGTCTTGCTCTGGAGGCGGTGTTTATGCAAACGACTAGGGGTGTCCCCGACTAAGGATTTACATAGTCAAATCAGAGTTTTCGAATCTTGCTGATAGTCGACTGATAGTCGAATCATATGTTTGGGGGCGGGGCAAAATACATTACCAAGAGTCAAGTAGTCAGACATTCGACAATCATAAATACTGATGTTAACACAAAGCGAAAATGTGTAACGGATGACTCGCAGATACAAACGGGTAAATAATGTTTTATGTGTTGATTAAAAGATAGTTAACATTAAACGACTGCGAAACCCTAAGAATTCACAACAATTTTTATAATTAGTTATTAATGTTCTGCATTTCTGTTTTGAGCTGCGCGCGCTAAAGATGACCAGTAGAGTGACGCATTTGATAGCAGGTTTTTAATCAATGGGATTTAACTCATCATTTATCTCATATAGAATATGCTTCGTTATTTATACAACATAACGTTAATATTACGACTTATAGGCTATCTGCACAAAGTGCCCCGAATGCACGAACGTGTCTGCGCGGCTCTGAATGAACCCCTTTTGTGGACGCGTGCCTCACGCAACAACGTGCAAAAACACGGCAACTAAACTCTAAAAATTCACAGTGTTTTATTATAATAGTGTTCTCATTATAATGTTATGTATATGACAGTCCCAGTCATAGTTATTATTATGCATTGTTGTTTGTCCTGCTCGCGCTGCTCGCCGTAGTACTACAATGAAGCGCTTTACCACAGCGTAACTCAACCAAATGCATCTTATACGACATACATAATATATAGGCTTACACGATATATATATAAACTGGCTGAAATGTTTTGAAATCACTTGTACCCTACATAATGGAAAAAAAATCCAGTCTTTCACTCTGTCTGTGTCATGCCCGGTTCAGACTACACGATTTGCTTGACGTAGGGTGTCGTGGGGATTCGTAAACGACAATGGGCGTCGGGACGCAAGATTCCATCGTTTCAGCTCGTGTAGTGTGTCATAGTCTTAAGCTATGAAACTTACAGGATGTTTTAATGGTACAAAGACCTGTCATATGCCAAAAGATCAAGGCAAATTTGATTTCTCATGTCATGACCCCTTTAATAAACACAATCTTTATATCAGTGTGTCACGTGGATCTCAGCAGGAGTTTTTCTGTGCGTTTGAACACTTTGTCCTGTTTTAGATGAGAATAATGAACAGTAAAGAAAAATGAATCAAACTAAATCTCAGTCATGCTAAAGAATAGAATTCATGGAATTTTACATTAGAAAACGACTGTAAATAACAGATATGGGATGAATTGCAGTAGAGTGTTTATTGTCTTAATGTTCTTTTTGAATGTCATAATTCAAAGCGTTTCTGTCTTCTTTCATTCAGTTACATGATACCTGGATGCTTTTGTCCCATATTAGGGGTTTATCGGAGTGTGTGAGTCATGCTAAAGAATAGAATTCATGGAATTTTACATTAGAAAACGAATGTAAATAACAGATATGGGATGAATTGCAGTAGAGTGTTTATTGTCTTAATGTTCTTTTTGAATGTCATAATTCAAAGCGTTTCTGTATCTGTCATTCAGTTACATGATACCTGGATGCTTTTGTCCCATATTAGGGGTTTATCGGAGTGTGTGAGTTCTATTTCTTCTGTAATATGTATGTGGATTTTCTGCGCCAGGGCGCCCTCAGGTGTCCAGTATGCATGAAACAGACATCACGTGTTCATAGCACAAAATAATGGCCAATCCATAAAAATAATATTTCTCTCAAAAGAAATTTGACGTAGACATATGATAATCCATGTTTGTCTACAGTATACAGAAGTGTATTGGAGTTTTAATTAAAGTGTACTTGAGTTTTTTTTTTTTTTATTAGAAATTTGTTATTTTATTATTTATTTTTTTTCTCATTCAGAGTGAAAAATTAGGAGCTGTTTATGAGACTTGCTTATGCAACTTTCCATTTATATTCCCCTTCACGTGGTTCAGGAAATATGCCAGTTAGTTATTGAAAACAAGTAAATCATCGTCAAGTAGGTTTATTGTCATACTGTAGTTGTTACAAAAAAAAGCTGCAAGAAATTTCAATTTAAAAAGCGTCACAGTTCAAATTAACTTCATTGATGTCCTGAATAATACAACTAAAATCATGATAAGAGTATTGGACATTTCTATTATATCAGTGTATTACTGATATTATTACAGTCCGTAGAAACATCACTGTTGTTTTTACATGCATATTTTAGTTTGGATCTTAAGATGTGTCAAAACAAAGTTAATTTAATATGAAAGTTGTAATATTGCAATGGTTTTTATTTTACTTAATTTTAGTTTTTTTAACATAATAACCTAATTAAAGGGTTATTCAAATAAAAACAGGTAAAATTACTAAACACAAGACATGATATTTAACAGACATAGTTAGATGTTCAAAATGCACTATATACATAAATATGTATCATAATGAGTCATTTAAAAATACTCTTCTCACAGATCCATTTATACTTGTTGCCACATGGAAAATCAGCCCATCCTGGTGAATAATTTAGAGCACAGTCTTCCTCTATTTTATTCGTTTGTCCATTCTCCCAGAACCTGCATCAACAGATCAGCATTAGATGTTCAGAGCTGCTTTCTGTGTGATATGATACTGACTGTGAGAATCCTTTATTAAAACATAATCAGTTCAATTCAGTGATTTCTCACCTAAAGGTCACATTGCTGCCATCAACCCATTTCCATCTGCCCTCCACTGATTGGTCAGTCAGACCAATCCAGACTTTAGCATCACCAGAAATGTTCTTCACAAAATCCTGAGAAGTGAAACAATAAAACGATTTATAAAATGAGCACAGACCCATTTCAGCACATTATCTTGAATCTAAAAACTAAACACCACAATTACACACACACAAACACACACACACACAGAGATAGAGAGAAACTGACTTGTTCCTCTTTGTCGTTTATGATGATCAGATCTGCTCCTTTGTTTGTACAGTATTTTCTGCTCTCGGCCCATTTCTTCGTCTCAGAAGAAATGAAGTAAAGACTGGATTGATGGCACTTCCATCCACCTATAAACACAGATAAAGCCATCCCTTGTGAAAAATAAGTATACTAAAATGTATTTGAAGTACATTTATTTCATGCTAAGTATAATACAAATATATTTACATATTTATGCACTTTATAAAATTATCCTGCAATTGTACTTTTAGTATACGGAACTGGTATCAGCTAAATATTGTACTCAATGTACTTTAATTATGCAGAAGTGCTGCTGAAGTCCAACTACAGATATACTGAAGTATATTTGATTGTGCTAAAGTGGAACTATTTCAAGTATACTTTAGGTATATCATAATATCTAGTATTTAAAGGCCAATATTATTCAAAGATCATACAATCCTCATCAATAGTGACATGAAAATACATTTTAGGCTTAATATTAAGAAATGTGCATTGTGCACAAGTAGTACTCCAAATAAACTTTAATTATAATTTTTATATCAGTAAGTCTCTACCGATATGTCAGTAAATATGTTAATAGGTCTGAACTATACTTGATATGAAATAAAAATGTTTTACTAGGGCATGAACTAAATTTGAGTGCAAACAAAATTAAAAGGGTAATTTATGTTAGTTGTACTAGTAGTGTATTAATTAATGTACAATAACTGACAGTATACTGTATTGTGTGTTCATATTCAGTTTGAATTTATCTCACTTGTCACGATCACTCCATTCCAGACTCTTACCATTTACCTCCGGATTCCATTTCCCATAATCCTTTGCATGGACTCATCAATCCTCATTGTCTGCACCTGTAGCTCATTTACACTGTCTGCTCACTTTATATAAGCCTGGTTTAGTTTGTCATTCTTTGCGAAGTCTTGTTAGTTGTTATACTGCATTTCTGAGCATTCTCCCTGGATTTGTCTCTTGGTTTTTTGATTTCTTGCCTGTTTTTTGGGGGGGATTTACCCTTTGTCTGAGTTTCCTGCCTTGTCTATTGTTTGGATTGCCTGCCTGTGTTTTGACCTGTTGCCTGTATTTCGGATCACGTCTCTGGTTTGTCCCAATAAAGCTGCATTTGAACCTCCAACCTGTCAAGTCTCAGAGCAATACGTAACAGAAGACTTCGCCACTTACAGATCCAGCAGCTGAGTGTCATCCAGATCACTATGGATCCGGTTAATCAGTTATTGTGTCTACATTAGAGGGATTTATTGATCGAGGATTATGTACAGCAGTTTCGTGAGTTATCCTATTGTGTACCATTCAAAGAAGTTGCGCTGAAGGACTTTTTTCGTTTTGGATTGAATGAGCCTATTAAATCATGGTTCCCTAAAGGAAAGTTCAATTGTAGTTTAAAGGACTTTATGGACTTATATCTACTATGCTCTTATTTTAAGCGGCTCTGTATTCACTGTGGATGTAACTGAGGAGGAACATGGCACCACACCAGAGTCTGTTCACGTAATGGCTGCCGGTCAAGAGCCTTTCCACAAGATGACCGCCAGCCCAGAGACTTATCATAAAATGGCTGCCAACACAGAGGCTGTTTGCAAAATGATCAGAAACTTTCCACAAAATGGCCGCCGTTCCTGGGTCTCGTCCCGTCATGGCCACCGTTCCTGAGTCTCGTCCCGTCATGGCTGCTGTTCCTGCATCTGCTCACGTCAAGTCTGCCAAGTCAAAGTCTGCTCATGTCATTTCAGAGTCTCGTCACGTCTCAGCTGATCGTCCAGAGCCTAGTCACGTCTCAGCTGATCTTCTCGAGTCTCATCACATCTCAGCTGATCTTCCAGAGTCTCTTCAAGTCACCACTGATCTTCCTGAGTCGTCACAGCTGATCTTCCTGAGTCAAGTCAAGCCACAGCTGATGTACCAGAGTCTCGTCACGTATCAGTTGATCTTTCAGAGTCTCGTCACGTCTCAGCTGATCTTCCAGAGTCTCGTTGGGTCTCAGCTGATCGTCCAGAGTCTCGTCACGACTCAGCTGATCTTCCAGAGTCTCGTCACGTCTCAGCTGATCTTCCAGAGTCTCGTCATGCCTCAGCTGATCTTCCAGAGTCTCGTCATGCCTCAGCTGATCTTCGAGAGTCTCGTCATGCCTCAGCTGTTCGTCCAGAGTCCCGTTACATCACAGCTGATCATCTAGAGTCCTTTCACGTTCTGTCTGTTGCACCCAGATCTTCAAGGTAGTCCTTCGGTATTCCAGTCTGGTATCCAGTGTGAGGGATGCACCGCTGGTGTCTGCACGCGCAGCTGGTATCCCCAAACCCACTCACTTTA